CCCCATGTGCTCCATAGGGTATTCAATGGCTGATTTTCCAGAAGTAGATTGCCAGGTCTTTCTTCTGAGGTGCTTCTGGGTAGACCTTTCGGTTAGCAGCTCAGTATGTTAACCGTTTGCACCACCCAGAGAAGGCCTCACTTTATGCAGATTCTGCCTCTGTTAAGGCAACCCATACTGTACTGGGCCACAGCACACTCACTGCAAAGCCCCGTTTACCATATGCAGAGCTGCTGAGCCACATCTCCCTCTGAACGGTTGTACTCTAGGATGCAGATCATGGACTTTCCATTTTCTCGGTTCAATGTCATCTCATTAGATTTGTCTCCTCACTTGCTTCTGATCCTGTCTGGTACACAGATTACCTCTCTCAGTCTTGCCTATGTCTATATCTGTAATCAACACATTTTCTATGTCCTCACCTAGGGCAGGGCAGGGAGGAGAGTCCTCGGAAGATCTCCCTCCAGACCCCCAGTGCTCCAGTTCTGACATTCTTGGATGTGGCCGTTCAGATATTTACAAGCCCACCCGTAAGCTTCAGTCTCCTTTGGTGGACACGTCGATGGTTGTTCAGACTTGGGCAGTAGATGAGGAAAGAAGGTATACCCTGCAAAGGGACTTAGAGTTCTGACCACAGAGTCCCTTAGGGTCATCAGGTTCATTCAGTCCTCAGTTTCCCTCCGTGTATGGGGGCATGGTGACCTAGGTGATCTACACAGACTCCTCTCCCTGCTGTCTTCTTGATTCTGTGAATTAGTTCATTTCTCTGAGCCTCTGAGCCTGGGCCTTATTGGTGGTGTCCTGGGAGCCCGCTGTGATGTGGCCTATCAGACACAGGCAGGAGTCCAAAGAAGGAGGCTCTGTCTTGTCCACATGGCAGTCTGCCCCTGCAGGATATCACATCCACCTCTGGGTCACAGACCACCTGGTGCACTCAATGTTCACACTGGAGTGAGTTCTTGGCAGGGGTAAGGATCAGCCTAAGATGCATTAGCCCCCTTTCTCGGGCTGGCCTGACCTGGCCTGCTGTCTGGGGCTGGCTAAGCCACTGTCCCTCAGATGTGCC